ACATCCTTTTTCTAAATAAATAAGTACCTCTATCTGCTCTTGAGTCAAATCAAACCCAAGTCAATGTAATTCAAAGTTGATGAAGCTGTTTTAACATGCCGTGGCCGTATTGTACCAGTAAGATCCTGCCCACCAACAGAGTGCTGTGATAATCCCACCAAACCAGTAGAGCTCTGTGATTGGAACACTACGGATGTCAGTCAACAAAGCAGTCCTCCACAGGGACCTAATGGGCCATTCCCATCTGTACCGGGTCGATTCCACACATCCTTGTCTTAAGCCCATGTGGGCTGATTCTACCCACCAATCAATGGCTTGCTCTAATGGAAGGTGTGAATTTGCTGTCAGCAGTGGGTGTGTTGGCCCTGGTCGGCCTGAAGCAGACCCCCTCGAGAAGAGGGCTGAGAATGAGCCTTGGTTGGCCCGGAACAATACCAGGCCACCCAGATATGTAAACAACCTACGCTGCCCGGCCCGGGCCGCCCGGTACAAGTGGGAATGGGGCTTTTTAGTCATGCCCATCAACTTCCCGACCATGGGTCCTCGAAAGAATGAAAAACATTAATGCAAGTCAGTGGGGCTAAAAACGCTATTTTCTAAACGCGTTTGGTATTTGCCATAGATTTCACATATGATGTCCGTGAATTTTAAAGATGCATTTTGATGCCAAGAGCATACTTATTTTCAAAAGGGGGCAAAAGTTATTTTAGTATTTGTGTGAAAATACGTTTAGGACTACAAATGGGCATCACCAAATTGATGTCATTGAACCAGAAACAGAAAAAAGCAGAGGAAAATTTGCTGTCGTGTACTTCAAATCCTTCCTTCAGGGGGAAAGAATCACCATAAATAGATTCTATGGTGACGTCATAAATGCGACGTACTGACATCTCGTTAGCAGTCGTGCTAATTACGAACATTTACAAGCTGCAAAATCTCAACGTATGCGACTGGCATGGTTGAAACACAATCCATTACTTTTCATTTAAACTGAAGTACAACATATGTGCGATCCAGAGCGTGAGGCAAAGCAGATTAGAAAATAGCTATTTTAGCTCCGTTGACTTGGATTCCTTTGTTGTTCTTCCTGGGACCCATGAACTAACCGGAATGAGAGGAGACTTGGGTTCTCTAGTGCATGGTGAAAGAACTACATAAAACATAAAAAAAATTAAATAAACATTGTTTTTCTAAATAAACACACTGTGAATTGGTTGGCAGCTTCTGCAGAATAGTTTCACTTTATTACAGAAACAGATATATAGCCTACTGACGCTTTGATAAATAAAGATTTATTTGTTTTTTCCCAGTCAGTAGAGAATGTTTAGCATAAATATGCACTCTGTTTTCCTGCTGGATTAGCTACCAACTTATATTGTGACATTTAATAGACTTAAATGCTGTTTTTAAAGGGAAGTATTCCAAGCATTTGGAATTCAGTGCCAGAATTAAACAAAGTAATGGAATATTTTACAAAATACATTTACAAGGGATTCTCCCCAACACTATATCTACCTATATAAAATATAAAATACTCTGTCAGTGCGCTCCAGGGCAGCTGTGGCTACATCGTAGCTCATCACCACCAGGGTGTGAATGGGTGAATGACTGATTGTATTGTAAAACACTTGGGGGGGGGGGGGGGGGGTCCAGGACTCTGGAAGGTGCTATATCAAATACAGGCCATATATATATATATATATATGTGTGTGTGTGTGTGTGTGTGTGTGTGTGTGTGTGTGTGTATGTATATATATATATATATATATATATATATATATATATATATATGTGTGTGTGTGTGTGTGTGTGTGTGTGTGTGTGTGTGTGTGTGTATATGTATATATATATACATTTATGTATATATATATATATATATATATATATATATATATATATATGTGTGTGTGTGTGTGTGTATGTATATATATATACATTTATGTATATATATATATATATATATATATATATATATATATATATATATACATACATAAATACACACACACACACACACACATACATATATATATATATATATATATATATATATCGTATTTGTGTGTGTGTGTGTGTGTGTGTGTGTGTGTGTGTGTGTGTGTGTGTGTGTGTGTGTGGGTGTGTGTGTGGGTGTGTGTGTGGGTGTGTGTGTGTGTGTGTGTGTGTGTGTGTGTGTGTGTGTGTGTGTGTGTGTGTGTGTTTTCATTCCCTCTCCACAGTTCGAAATGTAAATGCCACATCTTTCAGAAGCAAAGTCTGACTCCAGCCTCCACATTTCATTAACTTTTGTTAATGTAGTTGCTATGGCTCCAGGGTATTTGCTGAATGCTCACTGTACTTTCGCTGAAATAATAAGATCTATCAGTCATTGCGGGGCAAAAACAGCTTCATTTGCAGAATAAAGGTCATTGGAGCTGCTGCTTTTGAGTAACTCTGACAGAAAACAGTGTTCAACACTGTAAACTATAGAAAACTTGGTGCTGAAAGATTACAGCCTATTCAGGTGTTCACATGCAGGATTAAAACTCAGAGTCCGTTGGACAACTTGGTCACAACCTTACTGCGCGTCATTCTGTGCATTCCCATTAACTGCATACTGTCTGAGGAGGAAAATATTTCTGAACATTTTTACGCTTCTAAATTCTTTAAATCATACACGATTAAAGGATTATGGGGCTTTAATTGGTCCAAACCATCAGCTATTCAATCATTGATTACATTTATTGAATAAATAAGGAATCAGTTTGTCATCTGAGTCAAACAGAAATATGGATTTTTTTTTTATTTTATGTATTTTTCACTCATATCTATTCATGTGATGGCTCGATCCAGATCCTGGATTTTTCCCCCTTGTTTCTCATGATAAGGAGTAACAAAAAGCTGTCAGCCGTCTTCAAGTACACTCTTTCATTAATCAGCACTAATTAAACATATCGATTGAGCCCAACATAGGGATCTACAGTTAAAAGGGTTTACAAGGCAGTAAAGTGCACACAACAACAGCAACAAAACTTCAAGAAATTCATGAGTGACCTACATGTCCCCAAAGGATCAATTCCTTTGGAGAAACTTAAAAAATGGAGACAAGGGGGCATCTCTTATTAAATAATATCATAATTTACAATGTGTCAATGGCAAATGTTGTCCTTGGCTCAAGTGAGAGACGAAACCACTCAAGCTGAACAGAGCATCAATTTGTTTTCAGGATTGATGGGAAAAAAATGCTTGAAGTCATTGGCCTAAGCCCTGGCGGAGCACGGTTGGTTTATAGCAACAACCTGCAGATCACATGCTTTGATGGAAAAAACAGCTCTAAAAACTCAATCCTGCACAATCTCCAACCCCACGCCAAACTCTGACAGACTGAATAAAAGCATCCTTTAAGGCAGAGAACTGAGAGGTATTTATCTCCACTAATAAAACAAAAACAATAATTAAAAGAACTAAAGCACTTCTAATCCTTTATCTTATTCAAACTGATATCCAAAGATTAATGTGTGTACTGCTAATTTGGTGAAATTATGTCGGCTAAGGATTAAAAGACATAATCAACTGTGTTTTCAAATTATCAAATTTTTTAAAACTCATTTGTAAAACGAAATGAAAAAAATGACCCATAGAGGGCTTCAAACTGGAAAAAAACCAACTACAAACAATAAATTTGTGTTTATTGGCAACACGCCTGGCAGCTCAAATTAAAACCACATTAAAATGATAAATAAAGAAAATTAGAGTCCACATATACATAAGTCAAAGAGCCCCAAAATAATAGACATTTATAATGGATTTAAAATAATTTCAGCAATTTGACTGCTCAATAAAAAAAATTCACACAACAAACTGTGGTTTTAAGCTGAATATGGTCTCAAATAAGATTTATAGATGTGTTAAGCTACTTATCAGAGAAAGAATAAGATAATATGTCCATTATACTTTTAGAAAATAAGCACAAAAGGAAAGTATAGATATAGTTCAGAAAATAGAATTATACACACACACACACGTGTGTGTGTGTGTGTGTGTGTGTGTGTGTGTGTGTGTGTGTGTGTGTGTGTGTGTGTGTGTGTGTGATGAATGACTTCATGACAAATTGTTATAATGCAGAGAGCCCATGAGCATTAGCAGGGCAAAACAGCAGCATCTTCAGCATGGATCCTGTTGTCACACGCACGCTATAATCTGATTTCACAACTGCAATGAACTAAACTGTTTTTATTTTTTTACATTCAGCAACGAAAATCAGCAGCTTCAATGATTTCATTACATGGTGCGTGTCTGCTCATTGGAGACGGATGCAAGTTTAATTAGCTGGCTCAGCTTGAACTCTGTTGTCATCTAGTGGTTAAAAAACGATATAACATTTGCGAATTTGCACGATCAAAATCCGTACAATCTTTCTTAGAAGGTGATGATTTATCCTAATGTATGTTTAATGCTAAAAATGGGGGTGGTGTGGCTTAAAATGTGTCTCTTTGAATATCAAATATTAAATAGAAAATCCTGTTTTAAAAAAATAATGACAACCCAGGCACCAAACTTCTCAGCTGGGCATCAATAGTGGAAAAAAATAGATGCTGAAGCGGCTGAAATCAATTATGCATCTAGAAAACCCATCTCAAAGCCATCCAAAATCAGTGCATCCGCAAACTAAGATCCATGTGAAATCAACACATGCTGCAGTAGCCGAATATTTACACTCTCCTGGATGAGACAGCCTCTTTTCCTCTGGCACAGAGCGCACGTTTCCAGGGGAAAGACCCGCCAGAAGCCTAATTAAATAGAAAGCGCTATTTGTCACATCAACTAGCAGCAGCTCCCTCTTTATCTCTTTCTTTTTTTCTCCAAATGACTGAGAGACAAGTTGATCCAACAACACAAACAAAAGCTGGAATCGGTTTCAGCAAACGTCCGAAAAGCTGTGTGTCATTAAATCACTCCATGTGTCTGGGGCGATGACAGGACCGCCGCAGCAACGTTTAGTCGAGCCTGAACGAACTCACCCTTCGGGAGGAACGGGAAAGTGATCACGAGAGAAGATTCAGCTGCTCCTCAGCGTCGTCCGCCTCAGAAAGTGAGAAACTCGGGTAGTTTGTGGAGTTCGGTTCGTGCAGAAGTCAAGTGAGAGTGAGGAAGCAGCGCGGCTTCCTCACTCTTCCTCCGTCTCCTCTCCATCCTCTCCGCGGGGGGAAGCGCGGCCCACTTTAAACTCTGTTGACGTCATGGGTGCTGATGCTGCCCCCCCTCCCCCCCACTCCCTTACCTACCTCCATCCCCTGTCCCCTAAACCCCCACCACCAAAATAAAGATAAAATAATTCTAAAGGAAGATAATCTGAACATAATTTTAAAGTATCTTTAATCTCAGTAAAGATATTGATGTGCTTTTCTGCATGACTGAAACACTCAATGATATGAGATGAATGTGGACAAATTGCCTGGAAAGGCTTAATTATTATAATTAAATGCCATATATTTCTGCAAGGATGCACACAGAGAGAAAGTTACAGCTCACCTGTACTGACACGACTCCTTTTCCCCTGACAGATTTATGCTTGCATTTACAGATGAGTGTACGTGATGCGATAGAGAAAAAAGCAAGCACTCTCTAATCTTAACATGTGCAGAATCAGTACACGGTCTTATGGAGAACAATCTCATTTTGAAGGTTTGACAAAACTCACAAGATTGATTTTCCACTTGGAAGATTTGAAAACTCTCACCTGAATAAGCTGTTTTTTTTTCCTTCTTCCTTTTCTTTCTCTGACATTTAAAAGCAGGATGTATTTGTGAGAGAGATCAGAAAGACAAAACTAGATAAATGTTCTTTCCTTTTTCTTTTATAGAACAGTTACCCAGCAAGTTCAGTGATGCAAAAACTAAAGTTGGCATGTTTTGGGATGTTTTACACCCCTCTGTAACCATCATCACTCACTCTGCACCAGATCTTTGCTTAAACGTCGGCTAAGCTGTTGAAGTAAGACCCACTTATTTCTTCACAAAATGCCGTAAAAACCACTGACATTATACGACTTTTTTCTCTTAAGGTTATATGGTCGATGAAAAATACGTCCATGAAGTTCTTTGCACTGAAGCCCTCTCAAATAAAGCAGTATTATTATTCTTGACAGTTCTAGCACCTTCCAGAATGAGTCGCTTCAGAGATCTGTCAACGCCCACCCACCCCCCACACAGGCTGTTATAAGCTGAGAAGCTCCTTATATTAGATATTAAGGAGAGGCTCAGAGTAGAGCCATTGCTCCTCCAGCAGCAGCTCTCTTGCACATGAGAGGTGTTATCGCTTGTGATGTCACAAATGGGGACTTTTTGAAACAGCTTGTTTTAGGCATTATCATTCCCAAAACTAAACACTGACAGAAAATGGATGGAATTGGCTTTTTTCCCACTTCTAGAGTCTTTATAGAGGCAGTAAAGACCCGTATGGCAGCACAAAAGGATACATAGGAGGAGTTTGGCATAAAATGTCATGTCATTTCATTACTAATTATTGGAGTTCCATCTTCAACTTGTTAACATAACAATAAGGCCTAGTCCACACGTAGCCGGGTTTTTTAAAACGAATATCCGCCCCTCCAAAAACTTGCATCCACACCACCTCGTTAAGAAAAAAACTCTGTCCACACATACCCAGATAAATACGTTGTTAAGGACATGCCAGACCTGTAGACGGCAGTACTTCCCCCGTTCTTAACCTCGTCCTTCATCTGTGGTCTTCTGCAAGGAGCAGTAATTCCGCTTGCAAAAACAAACAAGCAAAAAGCGCTTGGACAATTGATAAAGCGAGCGCAGCTCTGAGGGCATCCATGCTGTCGGCTAGTGTAAACACAGGTCGCACACGTGATGTCAGCATTTTTTTGTCGCAAAAAGTGACGTTGCGGACCTTAAAACTCCGGTTTTCTCAGTTCACACGCAGACACCCAAAACAGAGAAAACGCAGATCTTCACTTTGGCCGGAGTTTTTAAAAAGATCAGTTTTCGTGTGAAAAAACTCCGTTTTCGTGTGGATGACAGGCCTAAACGTAGAAAAATATCTACGTTTTGGCAGATCCCTGGCTACGTGTGGACAGGGCCTAAGTTTCCTGCTTCTCCTTCCTACTGGTTGAAAGCAGAATTACACCCATTGGAAACAACCCTGCTGTACCCCCTAATGCAAAGGTGTCAAATTCTGGTTCTGGTGAGACGGTGTCCAGCACGTTTTAGTTTTGTCTGTTTCAACACACCTGATTCCAATCAGCAGGTGGTTAACAGGCTTCTGCAGACCTTGATGAGCAGCTGCATAGGTGACTCAACCACTGAATCAAGAGCGTTGGAGCAGATAAACCACAAACTCTATTGTTTTAATTGTAATGACCGTACTTTATAAAACTGGGATGAAACATTCTAATGTGAAAATTATTCCCAGCCAGGCAACGGGTAGTCCTATCTCACACATTCATGAACTTAGGCCTCGCCTCCAAACTCCCAAAGTCCCTCTCAAACAGGCTTGAAGGAAACCTCAGGGTGCTCCTCAAGAGCTCCATCACCTCCTGGAGGAGAAAACATGATCCACTGTCAGAGTCCATACCACCCAACAGATTTCAGCAACATTAGGGAAACGTGCACAATAATGGGCGAATGCTTTCAGCGTTGTGGTTTTACAGATATGATAGCCATAAAAGAAGCACATGTAATGCAGAGAAAGTGTCCTTACTGTAGAGAATGACGATAATGGGAGGTCATTCTTGAAGTAGTGATGAAGCAACATGTTACTGTTTTTTTCATGCCTTCAAAAATCAGAGTGCTGCCTGTTACGCTGTGGTTCAAACCCAATTACTCAGCTTAGAGAAAACCAAAACATCCTTAGATATGACTAAAAAAGACAAAGTACTTAAAGTTTACTGTCAAATATGTGCTTGTAGCTGATGTTATGAGATATATTTATATGGAAATAACTCCACAAGATGCAAAAGTGTGATTGGTGTTTATGCCCAAACTCATTTGTTGCTACTTTTATTATTAAGTTGGTTGTAGAATAGAATAGAATAGAATAGAATAGAATAGAATAGAATAGAATACCATCTTGACTGTCATTGACAGTTTTGGTGGTTGGAAACTGGTTAATAGTTCATGTTTTCTGTGTGATTAAATGATGTAAATACCCACACGATACAAAATCATGTTACTAACTCTTACTAACTATAATAATAAAGCACCTGCTTGTGAAGTAAAATAAATAATATTCCAATCAGGATGCACATCATGTTATACTTGCCCTGCATGTTTATTATGCACCTGAGCGTTCCAGTGCGGTCCACCTCATTAAAGCAAACCTGCTGTGTCTCCAACACCAAAACATGTTGTGTTCCGTCATTTATGGGCAGTTATTCTGGCCAGACTGTAAGACTTTTCTTTTGCAGACTTTATCCAGAACGCGTTCTGAGCCACATTCAGGAATTGAACTCCTTTGTGGATTGCTGTTGGCCGTGCTCCAGATGAACTACATCTGCCCAAAACTTGCTTTTACTTCTGTCTTTGCTTATTGAGTTATCTCACAGAAACAGAAGGCTGCAGCTCCACCTTCTCATCGCCTCTGGCATGTGGGTATTATACCCTGCATAAAACATGCATCTTCATTCACACAAATCAAATTATGGAAGAATGTTCACCTAACATTATTTGGAATAAACTGACCATTATTTAAATATTTTTGCATGATTTTAAAGCCCATTAATGATAAGAAGGTTTGATTTAACATAATCAACAAGAGAGATTAAAAAAAACTAACAGATGCAAGTTTTAAATATTTGAAGATGAAACACCAGATTCAGAAGTGCTTTTTATATTCATAACTGAATAAAAAAACAGGTTGCTTTGGAGGAGTGGCATTTGTTGTGGAAAATCCAGTTAAATCAATTTTATTGTGTTTAACAGGCACATGAATATTAACTATCCTCATTGCTTCCGATTCAGGTGAGAAATACACTTTTTAAATTTAAAAGTAAGCTTAGAGCAACAATAAAATACAGAAAATATTTTTTTAAACTCACATAGATTTTAGCCCAAATAGTTTAAAAGATGCATGAGTTCCGATGTCTCCCTCCACAGCATTTCCATCCTATGTTTGAATATCTATCTTAGACAAATTAGATGTTTGGGTCCCTGACCGCTAGCCTTTCTTCTTCTCCATCGGAGCAACTGGTTGCTGTTATCTGCTGCTTCAGAAGCCGCTTCTGTGGCCGGCCCATGGTCCCCGAATCCCCAAATCTCCAAACAAAGTAGGGGTGGATGAAGGAACAAACCCACAGAATATAACAAGGCGCCGCACATTCTGGTTTTCCAGCACCGCTGCAGGTCCTACATGAGTGAATCTGAGTCTGAGCCTTTCATTTCTCGTTTGTTATCTCTTCATGGAGCTGTGGTGCATGGAAAGATGAATGAATAATCTCTGTCGTTCTGTTAAAGGGAGGTTCTTATCTAGTCAGGTGAGTGTAGGACTACATGAACAAACAGAAAATAAACTAAAGGGCAAAATATAGACTTTGACAGTTTGCATTGCTTTATTTATTTCTTAAATTCACTTGTCTCATGTGAAAACTTTATTGATTGGCTGGGATCTAAAAGAGTCAACAACTGTGATTCTGGATGATACACAGACCGCATGGTTCAGCATTGGTCCTGATGGAGATTGCTGAACACACGCTACTCCTCCAAAGCTCAAGATCACTTGGAAATGTCTCTGTTTTACAAAGAAAGGTGCATTTCAGGTACTTCACAAGCAACTGTATCCATTTCACAAACAATTTTTAAATGAAGGTCTAATTTGTGCAGTAGTTTGAGTCTTCAATTAAGTCTTTCAATTTCATAGCTTTTTTTTTTTGCAGAATCAGTTTTTCAATTGACTAAAAATGCAACACAATGGTTCTGTGGTGTGAGATGTTTAATAAAATGCTGCGGCTTTAGCAGCACATGCATTACTCCTGGCAGTCAGGGAAGGCTGCATTACAGCCAGTATTTAATATGAAACAGTGCAAAATGTCTATTTCCAGCACTTTTCATAAACGTGCATTTGCAAGTCATTTTACTGATAAATAACAACACCTTCTTCTTCAGCTTTGCTTTCTCACACAAAGGTTTACATTTTTACTGTCCATTTATTGCATCCAGAACTGGATACAAAGAGCGAAGACTTCCTGCAAA